GGGCGGAAGGTCACCCGAGCTCGAAGACAATGAAAGAGAAGAAGAATGAAATTGACTTCGTTTACAGTTGCTCATGAGAGAACGGTACTGAGCAGTTAAGGAGAGAAGGTTCAAGAAGCGATTGAGGCTAAAAGGTCACCAGACTTTAGCCGAAAATGTTGGAAGAAAAAGGTCATCAGACTTCATCCAAAAAGTTTGCAGCTAAAGGTCACCAGACTTAAGCTGAAAAGTTGGAAGATAAAGGTCATCAGACTTTATCCGGCAAGCTGGGATCTAAAGGGCAGCAGAAATTGCAGCCGGGGGGGAAGGTCACCCGAGCTCAAGCGATGAGAAGGAGAAGAAGCGCCCAGTTAAAGAACTCAGCGGAGAACTTAGCACACATCGAGGGAAGGACTGAAAGGTCATGGCGCTGATGAAGCAGAGAAAGGTCACCGTACATTAGCAAGAAGCAAAGTGTGGGAGGAAGGTCTACCACACAAAATGAAGAATCAGAACCAGAAACGAGAAGGAGATGAGCAGACCGTAGTTCTCAAATTACTTTCGAACCACACTCTACAAGAAGAGTAGCGAATGAGCTAAGATGGGAAAGGTCATCCACATACAGTTGAGAATGGTTCAGCTAAAGAAGGATGACAAAGGTCATCATCAAAGAGCAGCGAAAAGTTTCAGCTCAGCACTGAATAGCCTTTTTATCATAGGCTTAAAGATAGACGTTGGAAAATGAAAACAATGAAAGGTCACGGGACTTACAATTTTAAACTGAAAAACTGAACGAACTGATCAGAAGACAGAGAAGGGACGGAGCCCGTCAATCGTAAAGGTCACCGGCGACCCGTTGACAAATTACAACAAGGATTGCCCGGATTGCAAGCGCAACAACTTTCTTTCAGGTGAACGATTCCCTTGTTGGGAATGCGTGGTCGCCGTGCCGATGCCAAATCAACTCCTGGTAATTCCGCAGGAAGCAAGAAGAGGCAACCTAGATGTATTTCGACACCTGGTCAGAAGAAAAACGTGGCTGAAACTATCGCCCGAAGATAGAGTGATTTTGGAGGATAAATACCGAATGTGGGTAGGACGCAGACCTGGATGGGACGTCACCCTTGAACCTCCTAAAACTGCGGAAGCGAATGCGTTTAGAAAGCAAATATTGCAAGAAAAGCGTGAAGCAGAAAGAAAGCGTTTGAAAGAAAGAAAGAAAGCTGCGGCAGAGAAGGGTTTAGCCGATGCAGCTAAAGGTCATGCGGGACTTGCAGCACCCGTTTCGGACGCGATATTTAAGAAACAAGACGTACAGGAGGCGATTATACGCGAATCACTCATCCAGCAATTGGACATCATCCTTAAGGACCCACTCTCACTAACAAAAGAGGAACATACAATATTCCTGCAAGAAAAGGTCAACCTGACGGAAAAAGGCCGATGGTCGCAAGTCATCAAAATTTTGATCGAGGACAAAATTGAGAGCATGCGCAAATTCCTCATGCAGCAAAACGAAATGACGGAGACCGAAAGAAATTTCAAGAGAGACGAGTTCAAACGACCGAAATCACCGCCGAGAGAAACGTATCAGTCGGGCTTGGCAAGGTCAGCCGACAGAAATGAAAGGTCACATGTGTACGAAAGGTCGTCCGATCATCCTCGACAAAGGTTATGGAAACATGAAAGGTCATGCGTTTATGAAAGGTCATCCGATCATTCTCGAAAAAAGGTCACGAGAATTGGAAAGATCACGAGTCTGCGAAAGGTCATCCAATCATCCTCGAGAAAGGTCACGGGACTTAAAAAGCGCGCATGGTTGACGCGAGAGATCACCTGATCCGTATCCAACGCAGACGTGACCGAAATCGTCACAGTGCTACTAGCAGCCGGAGCGAAGGAGACGAGCTGCAAGAGAGGGAAAGGGAACCTCGAGATCGAACGTCTGATCGTAATGAAAAAGAAAGACGACGTTTCGATTGGAACCGCGACAATGGTTCAAACGATCAGTGATGACCTTTAGGGCATCGCTGATGTGCTGGTTACGGCCATCAGTCGGCAGCACGAGAATGGTAATAAAGGTACAGTATCAGGGCGAAGGAGACGTAACTTGTTGAACTGTCGTACTATTTGTGTCTTTGTTGTTTTCAGAATTTTGTTACAGAGGATCAAGGCGATCCGAAATATGGGGAGTTACGGAGGTCATCCGGCCCTCGAAGCAGGAAGAGTAACGGCGCTAACCGGCCTTCCTCATTACATTTAAAACGTCACTTTTAGAGTGTAGTTGCGGCCTACTGAGTCGGCACACTCTCGCGGAATGACAGAAGCCACAAGGGTGAAAAAGAGAAAGAGTTCAAGAAAATAGGAGTAAAACTTTCAGATGTTGAGGTTACGGCGATAACCGGCCTCAGAAGAAAGAGGAGTTACGGCGTTAACCGGCCCTCGAACCTGGTAAGGAAAGAAAAAAAGTGCGCGTCAGTTTGCACTATAAGGAAAAGAAAAGGATGTGCGACCGAAGAAAATGGTTGAAAAGAATGATGACCTTTGCAAGGGAGGCAAGCAGAATTGCTTGGAAGCCAAAAATTGGCTAAGTTCCTCCATGACCTTTAATACGGAACTCATTATGGAAAAATGGATGACCTTTTGGGATCGTCACGGCCCAAACGAGTCGCACATCAGAAGAGAAAGGGATGACCTTTGGGAACTTCACTGCTCAACGAGTCATCAATCAAAGTTCAAGAGAATGACCTTACCAGGGAGGAAGCATTATGCTTGTCTTTCAAGACGTCCCTCCATGTCCAAGAGGAAGAATCTCATTTTGCAGAAGTCGTACTTGATACGCAATTATCCCAAAGATGAAGCAGCAGTATTGAAAGTCGTACTTGATACGCACCTATTCCTAAAGCGGATCTCATTTGTGATGGTAAAGATTGCTCAAAAGAGCGGAATGGACCAAAGCGGATTACGGTTGACAGGACCCAGTGACCTTTAGGAGTCGGAGGATCCTAGTCGTTTTGATAATGAATTCTGTTGATATTTTTTTTACTGTTTTTACTTTTGTTCCGAGATCTCTTTATTCACACATGTAATTGGAATTTGTGATGTTAAAGAGAGATTAAATCTCGATGTTTTAAACGCGCAGACGAGCCGTCAAGGATCCCAAGGAATTGGACGTGGATTCTGCTTCGACGGAGCTCAGCCTCCCTCCCAGAGGCATGTGAGCGCAGGCGTACATGCGTACACCCTCGCTTGGCAGTCTGTTGTGTTCTGTTGCGCGCCCGCCTTACGCGAGGCGAAAGCACGCTGTTCTGCGCGCACCCGCACTGTGTGGCGGCTACGTGCGCATTTTCCACGCTTGCTGCAGTCAGCAATGCGGAGTTGTCAATTGGGAAATTCTATCGAATTTAGTCTTGTCATAAATTCCTAGCAGTCACGCCATTTCTCGCTTTCTGTAGCGTAGGCGCATTTATAGCACTGCCAGGCTTTTTGGTAGGCAGAATCACGTCAATTCTGTTCCTACGCGTGAACCTTCACCAGGTCCACGCTCATAGGTAACTGCTAACTGTGTGCGTTTCTGACACGCTACCGATGTAAGACTTACCTTATTTTGTATCTCCTACGTACTTACCTGACTACTTATACAGTGTTGTTTACAGGGCAAATAGTTTTCCAGACGCTCTAACAGCACAAAAAAGAAAAATAATAATTACGGTGGTTGTTTCCAGGCTCCCGCCAAAACGTACTTACTACAAATATGAAAATTACCTGTATAATAATTCTACATATTAAAATTTGTAATTATAAAGTTGTAAAATTTGTATATTGGTATATTAAATTTGTATAATAATTTTTATATAATATTATTTATTTTTGGTTAAGATACGTAGGGTTTATTCTTTTACTTCATGTGCTCATCTTCAACGATAAGCTAGATTCCCGTATAGTAGCCGTACCGCGGCGCCGTGCATGCACTGTTCACGACAAGTTTTCAAAATGCATAAATATAAAAAAGATTATTCTTAAAGCATCCGATATGCAGCAAAGTGTCCCATTTTTCAAAATATATGCTTCAAGTATTCCATTACACTTGACTAGCAAATTAACAGCCATTTGAAAAACACAAATCCAGAAATATTAGCAACTTCCGGTTCGAACTTGGAACTGGTTGAGACCTTTGGGTCTAGTCTAGTACGATTATAGTCATTTGGAAATGGTGACACCACATTCGAACTAGTATGGAGCTTTTCTGTGTACTTAGTAAGTACGAGTACGACCTTTTGACTTGGGATTACTTGGATCAATGGCTTTCTGGATCTGCTTTACTTTGATTTGATTTTCTACGTCCAGCATATTTGATTGCTTACCTTTTCCTTATCTGCGCAGTTACTATAAAATATGCCGTATTACTCCATGCAAAAAAACGGTTTGGTGCAAGCGATTTCGATGTGAACTAATACCATAATTAATATTGGAAGTTTAGTTGAAACCAACGGCTTGCGGTTAAACATTCGGGAATGCTTATTTGCCCAGCCAGATGTGGCCGCACGATCCGCATTATACCAGCACGCATAATTATGAATCGTACGGCATTTTTAAGGCAGCGCGCGTTAGTAAATAAACCAGAAGGTAATGCGATCCGATTTTTTCACCAGCTTTTTCGATCGCAAAATGAAGCACCCTCGGTTATACTCGTATCATTTAGTATCCAGGACCATAAGGATTGTGATTAGTAATGAAACGGCTTGCTCTGAAAATCGTTTGATTATTAATGCAAACATACAGATAAAATAATGACATAAGAATGATCAGCGGATGATACAGTTCACAGCATACCTCCCGGTTTCCGGTGTACCTTAATCGGCATATTAAACGGTGTGGGCTTATCATCTGTTTAAGTTTGATCAATCTTGCCAGCTGCATATGAAACACGGGGCTGATTAAACGCACTCGCGTGCTTGCGTTCTGGGTTTGCCAGAAGTTAAAAGCCGGTGAATGTGGTTGGTAGTCCTTGTTATTCGTATTCAGCACATTAAGTTACTATTAGCGTATGAACGATTTTATCATGGCCAGCGAAGCGCCGGCATCAAGTCCAAAAATCCGGTACCAGTTAGCAGAAACAATAAATGCTGATAAACCAGGAACCAAAATACACTTGGCCCACCGCACGGATTGCGAAATTGCGGTGAAGACAACCCTTCTGGTAGGTAGCAGGGAAAAGGCCCACGCGCTGGCCCATGCGATGGATGCCGATTTACAGCATATTCTGACGTTTGAACATCCGAATCTGGTGCGTCATCTGGCGCATTGCAGTTCTCTGGAGGACAACCCAAGGGACTTGCCGCATTACATAACCATTATGGAGTACTGTTCCGGTAAGTCAGTCTATCTCTGTGCTGCGTGTTACCCGAGTTTTCGACAGGTTTTACGTTTAACGTAAGATTTTGTAAAAAATGCTAATTTAATGCGATTTTACAGTAGAATAATCGGGCAATGAGGAGGAAATTTTGAATTATGGTCAAGTTACTATACTACGTTGCGGCAGCCCTAAAATTCCAAAACGTGACGGTGTCTCTGCTTTATATCCAACTTAGAGTAGAAACTAATGCTAATCACTACGGTTTTTTATACCAAAAATTAAAATTGGGAATTACCGTCATTATTCAATTGCTACAATGTATACGTTTTTCAGGCGGCAATCTGCACGCGGCAGCTGAGTTCCACATTCCCGCGCCACTCATCCAGAAATGGACACGCCAGATTGTCGACGGTTTAGTTTATCTGCACGCCCAGCACATTGTCCACCGCGATCTAACGGGCACCAACATTCTGCTAAACAGTCCGGACTGGGATGTCTGCCAAATGAAGATTGGTCAACTGGAAGCTACGAAAAGTCTTCGCAGCGATGGAACTGTGGAGAAGGTGGCCGGCGACGACAGAGACAGGTATGCCTTCTTGTCGCCTGAGATGATCCGGTCGGGGAACAGCGGCCGCAAGACCGACATCTGGAGTTTGGGCTGCGTCGTGCTGCAGATGATCAGCGGGTTCCCGCGCTTCGTCAAAGTAGTGGACGGAAAACAAGTGGACTTGAAGATCGATCTGGCCATCACGTATTACATCGGCAGCGGTGGGATGCCGGTAATACCGCCGCAATTGCCAGATGAATTGCGGGCGTTTGTCGCTTATTGTCTGAAACGCGATCCTGTATTACGGCCGCAGGCTGCCGAACTCTTGCATACGAGCTTTTTGACCCTGGCTAATGTGCCGCAATGGCCTGACTGTCGCCCGCAACCGACATGATGCAGCGTACACTGAGGAAACGATTGCGCCTGTTTATTTTCTGTACTACGAATATATCTGCGGATTCTTGTAAAAATTAAAAAAAAACCGTGATAAAAAACAAGCTCACAGTAAACATGCCGTCTCGTACTACGTAGTCCGCGGCGGAGTATAACTGGTCATTATGTAGCGGTGGGTCAGCGAATACTGAGGCAATATACATTTTTGTGTGCACGGTGCATAATGCATCTATCCTGGCCGGGTGCAGTGGACCTTTAATTCTCTGCCTAAGCATGTGCAGAAGTAAAATTTAATATGACAAAATACGCATTCATTGTACAGAAGAACACATACATTCGGCAGATCCCAACGCAGTAAACTAAGTACCACTTTTTTCTCTCACCCAAAAATGACGCGACGGTCCTGCCTGCGGTCTGAAAGACGAAAACGTTATTACCTTTTGCCAGGTACAGAAGCAATCCGGAAGAGGATCCGGAATATGGGTTTATGGATTCGGAGCACATTATACCAGTGTGCAACTGCTCTCTGCAAGGGAATGGCCACGCAGTAATTCCAGGTTCGCTGCGTACGTAATTTACGGCAAAAACAAATCGCTGATAATTTTTTCCAAGTATGTATTTCCTGAAACAGTCACAACCAGTCATACTGTGAACTCGAGCGAGCCAGGATTTTAACATTCTGTGAACAGAAAGCCTTAAATTTAAAAAAAAAATGATTAAATAAAAAAAATTTTTAAATAATGAATATTTGACCCGTCACCGTACAGTTAACTCTCTATACAAAATTTTTCCGTAGATTTCAGGCAGTTGACCCTTCCTAAACTGCCTGCAGGTAAAAGTTACATTCTGGCCGTACATCCGAACAGTTTTTTTATGTTAGAGTAAAAATGCAGATCCGAGATTTTAGCATTTTCAAGTCATTCAACTGTCCTTTGCACAGTTCTCTGGTATGTTGAGCGGCGGGCGCTACATTTCGAGAATTCAAATGTAAAGTAACTGAAGCCATAGGAACCCTGCGTGAAAAAATCCTGTTTTTCGGCCACAAGATCCCTGCGTGAAAACTGAAACCAAACCGTGGATTCAAATCATATGATACGCCTAGAGTAGGTTTTTTCGTTTTTTGGGCATTTTTTTCTTATTCGTTTGAAATATCAGTTGAGGGATTTAAATGTGCAAGGTGCAACTACGTTCTCTCGCTGTACTGTGGTCACCGTATTGGTGGGTTCTCGCCCTTTTCCTAGGTATATCTATTTGTAATAGTATCTTGTTTACTAGTATCTTGTTCCCTAAATTACCACCACACACATCGAACTGTGTGGTAAATTCCCGCCAGACATATAGACTTTACTTTTAAATTTACATCCAAAGCCTTAGCGTTAACCCACCAAAGCCCATTTGTCTGAACGCATATTTGCCACTTAGGTCCATATAACTGGGTGGCAATTTGACAACTTGGTGCACATACCTGGGGGTAATTACCACTCACGACCATTTACTTGGTGGTAGTTTACCATCTAATCCTATATGTCTGGTTCTACTTTACCACCTAGATCCATATTTCTGAATGGGAATATACCACGTAGGTCCACTTAATCCAGAACGTCCAGACACCGATATACTCCGACAGAAACGAGCTGATGCAGATTTACACTGCGGCAGAAGCCACCAGGTACGAATATACAGAGCGGCAGAAATTGGCGGATATTAAATTTAACTCCTTCCTCTTGGTCACAACCAAAAACGTAAAACAAAAAATTGGGTGGGGAAATTTGCTCGAGCGTTTTGGCGACCCCCGGTCGTTTCGGACGGTTTAGGGCCAAAACTTCCGGGGGACGCCTTGGACTGGACGACCGGTACTTTTGGACTCTCACACACGTGCTGTTAAAATGCTGCGATTATGTCTGTTCTGTATACAGTGTACAGATACAGTATAAGCGATGTTTAGTTTTCCAAGTTATTTAAAGTAGGTCTTGCGCCAATATCGGGTAAAAACGTTATCAACAAAAGTCGATAATTTCTGAATTAGTATTATGATAAATCTGCCACCAACGTCTTTCCAGAATTCAGTACCAATAAATTCTATCCATCACGAAGAAAGAACGCAAAGATATCAGCGGCAACGACCTGGTTACTGCCAAAAACGTAGGGAGTGACGGGACCAAAAGATGTGACAAGCTGAGACGGTCCCGGCGAACCCAGGGGGGAGGGGGTGGTCAGCTTCATGTATTATGATTGAGCTAACCAGGGGGGATGGGTCAAGCAAACATGACGGACCGCTACGAAGGGTGAGGGAGGGATGAAAAGACCGTGGTTTTCTGCGTAATTTATGGATGCCCCCTTGGCTGATTATTTCTTTGCACATGCTTTCACTGACCGCTCTCGTACGGTTACGCTATTGGTGGACTCGTTCAATCTCTCGCCCTTTTCTTGAACTATAATAACCGGTTGAGCCTGCCATATAGCGATAGATTTGGCATCGATACTCGATTGCTCAAAATTTAGAACTGAACAGTCACATAAACTCCGTTACCAGCGACATTGGCTGACAGTGTGACGCTATTCGAGTAAGTACCGCAGATTTTGCAGCTCGTACTGAAGCCATTGCTGATCTTCCTTTCAACAAAATACCAGCATCACGATATGTAAATATTATACCCTCTCATTTTACGTGAATTCTATTGAATGTCCCACCGATCCGCCATGCTCAACTGTATCAGCGTGGAAGTTCTGGGCGACGACGGGATGATGCGCTACGGGCGGGTGGTGGACGTGGCGGGCAACGGTCTCTTCATCGATCTGCTGTGTCCCAACCGACGACAGGAATTCGTTACCTTCGGTAGCATTTTTCGGCGCAAATGGATTACAGAAGACGACGCCATTCGTATCTACACTGAACAAAGTTTCCACATCCCTGTGGAAATCCTGGTGCGGGAGAATCCGGCAGGCCCGTGGACTTGGCTCGAAGGAGAAACCGTCAGTTTCGGCTGCGGCAAGGCGCAGTGGGAAAGTGGAGGGGCCTTGGTGCACTGGCATGATAAAGACAGCGGAATGATTTGCGAAGATTTTCTCAACTTCCTACGCATCCGCTGTCCAGATGATAAAGCACTGACACTGCGTCGGATGGAGTTCCGTCAGGCATCGACGAGCTCCTGGCTCAGTTGGCCTCATAATGACGCTGCACTGAAAGATCTCATTCGTCTCGGGGACATCCTCAAGCGCAGTGTTCAGTTGGACGATGAATTCCGCTCGTTGTCCACTGAAAAAGCGCAAGAACTCATCACAGAACTAACTAACTACGATTTCTATGGCTATACGCTCTCCGTGGTGGACCTTGTGGATGGTCTCTTGGTATACTTGCTGCCTTATGACGCTTCTAGTTCTGGATATGACGACATGGACAAGCGGATTTTGGTACAAACAAATCAATCAGGTTTTGCTTCGATTCGACTGGGTTGTGTGATGTGCAATTTACAGGAGGCCATTGCAAATCTCCAGAAATACCAAGCGACGATATCGACAGGTACGTTGTCCGAACAGACACCGACAGCCTACGACAAGATGCCGCTGCCAGTGGAATTGTGGCTGGAAGTGTTTTCGCATTTGGACACTGTCCACCAAATGCAAATGCGCGCGGTGTGCGTCGCGTGGAACCAGATGATGGACACGCCAGCCCTGCGCAGTCGAATTCTGACGCACGAGAGGAGGCGAAGGGACTTCACCTGGCAACGGGGGTTCGTTGAACTGGCAGCGGTGTACAAACGCCTGCACCAGGGAACGCAGCACCTGGTGGTAAAGCTGTGGGCTGACAAAACTGGCACAAGTGGTGGAATGACAACGATACCCTGCTGATGCTCTACCTCATGATTCGCCATGTGGAGCAGCAGCAGAACGGAATCCGGTTGAAAAGCCTGCATCTTATCGGCTTCCGACTGAATCTGCAGCTTAGCCACGACGTCGTTGATCGTAGTTGTCCTGTGCATCGGTCGGTTGTGCCATCGCTCCGCCCGGATGGAATGCGACGTCTTCATCTTCTGGAGGATTTCCTTGCCGTTTGCGGCAAACTGGCGCGTGATATCGTCCATCTGACCGAATGCTCTGTGGATCTGTGGTGCCGTGGCATGTATGCGTACGACAATGGAACGCAGACATACGGATGTACGACAGTTCTTCGGACAGCGCGGCTGCCACTGGGTCCGGGTTTCTCCGGCGCAGTGTGGGATGCGTTGGAGGCCGGGCTGCCGACACCGCCCACTTGGGAGTGGCAAGAGCTCTTGGACCTAATCAGTTTGCAACGGAGTACCTGGTGTGATGCACAATGGTTCCGCAACTACGCCTGCAAAACGGTAAATTCCCACCTCGACATTTTTGTTTGGCGTCGATAACTATTGTGCTAAGGTTTTCTTGCAGACACTGTGTTCTACGCAATCGGCCGACCCGCGTCCAACGACGCATTTTCGCGGGAAGAAGTGGTGCGTGGACGGCCTAGAAGATGAACAGTTGGAGAAACTGTCAGGAATCAGCATTTCTTTCCTCATTCGACTGTTTTGGCAGGTCATATAATCGTAAAGTGACAATGGATTTATTATTGTATGGTATCCGCTGTGTGTGTTACACTGATTGGGTTCAGGCTGCCAGCTCGCATTACCGCAGGTCACAGTATGCTTTGACGGATTCTTTCTTCGTTTTTAATTTGTTATATACATAGTTATTTAGGCACACTGCTCCTATTTCTCCTAAATTAACGTAAAAAAGCCTACTTTCTGTTCTTGTTTGCGGTGTCAGTTTCCAAAAATGGTTTTCTGAAGTTGCCAGTGTACAGTCATCTTTTTACGTTACGTGCGACATGTTTGTAACAGTCGCCTCAAACGATCACTTATATGATCTGCGTTCTTCGTTTTATTGGCTAAAACCTAAAAGGCCTTTAACAAAAAGCCGCAAACTTAGAGATTTGTGGTTGTGCCTGTACACCTGCAGCTTCCCCGGCAACTACTGGAATTTTTTTCCTGGCCAAATCGGCGGCAACCGGTTCCGGGCGGTATTTAAAGGCACTTATGCCGTCATAATAATAGTA